CTGTGTGATCAGGCAATTTCAGGTACTTAAACGTATCCGAGCTGCTGGCCAATTATCCAGGACAGCCGCAGCCGGCACAGCCACAGCTCGGAGTAAGCTACTTAATGGCCCCCGGCTGTTCGCCCTCCGAACTATTTCCAATTATGCACAGCTTCCGCTGCTGGACACACACCTTTGGCCGGCCACACACCACTGTCCTTCCTCTCTCCTCCCCTCGTCCTTGCGCCCACATCAAAGTCGCTGGGCTTGTGGCCTGTCTAAAGTGTCAGCAGGATATCACCAGCAATGCCACACGGCTTCTCAAGTGCCACGGCAGTGGGCACGTGGGTTGAGGCAGGTGGCAGGTGGCGGGGAGGCTTATAATGCGTGTCGATAATATTGACAGGGTGTAATTTTGATTGCCACGCCCACCAGCTCAATCAGAAGTGCCAGTGGAAGAGGTCGTGTGACTAATTGCTGCTTAATAGCCAATCTGCTCAATAAGCCTTGATCTCAAATGAGGCTAATTACCTAATCTATTTTAATGAATTCCCCTAATTTTGGCACTTTATTTTGCTACAAATTTTAAGATCGGTTAAAAAATTAAGCCAGATTAAATTTCATATTAAGATTTAATACAAAAAGCAATGAAGAGAAGACCAATTTAATTACTAATATAATTGCAGATTAGGGGGACCACGACTGTTATAAATTTATTAAGGTATAAGTGCAGGACTTTAGTTTAAAAAATTCCCTTTTTTCCCTGATCCCTTTTCCTAGTGAACCCGGTCACCGACTTGAGCCACCTTCGTGCCTGGCTGGCTCTTCTCCATCCGGGATTAGGGCGTGCTGTCTGAGCTAGCTCACCCCTCAGCGCATTTGGCTGTGAATAAAATGCACAGGCACCAAATTAATTTCCTGTGGTTAGTCCCACTAAGGGTGAGGCTACAATGGCCGGACCACAGTGCGTATGGGTAATGCGTCTCACGGCGCTCGCTCACCTAGGCTAGTGTGAACAAAATAAAGCAGAGGCTTAATTAAATTCACCCATTGTTGGAGCGCTGAGATGGAGCCGTGGCAGTTGTCCGAGCTGAGCCACACTAAGCTGATTGGCTGACGTCTGCAACAGGACGTATACGCAATGGGGGGGCTCTTATAACTCGGCATTAGCCGCTGCAGTAGTGCAACATTTTAATTAACGCCATAATCTGACCTGAGATAAGGGTGCTACTCATCCCTCGTAGAATGGTCTTGAACTCTAAAAGGGTTTTCTATTAGCCAGAAAAAGTTTTCTTTGGCCATTATGCAATCTATGCCAGCGATTGACAAACTTATTAAAAGTTTGTCTTTACTTCTCTGTTGGCAATACATCAATACATCATCCGAAACATGGTTCATTTGCCTGGGCGAAAAGAAAACTGCGAAAAGTCACAGAACATTAACTTGAACTATGACAAACTTTTGACTTTGACAAAGATGCCAGCAACCGAAAATCTCCCCGACACTGAATCATCTGGCTGGGCCAGGGAGGAGCTCTTCCGCAGGCGAGACTCTTCCAGCAAAACTTTTTCAAAGCTATTTTTGACTGCGGTCAACTAAACACACACAAAGTGGATGGACCCAAAGGGCTCAGGGAGGGGCAGAAGGGATGACTGGAGTCAGAAACCCCAAACAAAACTGTCGCCAAAGACGAACTTCATCTTGATGTGGTCGGATTCAATTAGATGTTGCCAGACCGAAACCGAAAAGGAAAACCAAACCGAGACCAGGGCTCAATTCAAATTTTAAAGTTTTTCTTGGGCGGCAAGAAAGTAACCGCTAAAGATAAGCTAACAGATACCCTAGCAAAAGTCAGATGGATGTTAAATTTATTAACTGAAACCTAAAGATAATAAAGCAACAATTTATCAGAATTAGGGAAAGGAATATTTCAACAAACTTTTGGGGGTTAATTAAAGCTTTAATTAGAGGTTTGATATGTGCAAATATTTAAGTAAATATTCTTATAAGACTTTAACTAAGCGTGTTTCCTTAAATGTCATTACCCCGAGCCAGAGTATGGCTAGCACGTAGAAAATAAAAGTCAAGGCGCGTTTGATTAGAAGGCGTTTCTAGCTTGGGACACCGAGATCCCTGCTCTCCGCTCACGACTCCCGGCTGCCGTGTCCCGGACTTGGACGTCCGTCTGTTTAGTGTAGGAAGAGGAAAAAACGCCCAAATTACATCCTCCACATGGTGACGACGGCTACTGTGCACTTTGCATTTTGCACATTTGCATTTGCGTTTGGCCTTGCGTTTGCATGGACGGTGCCACTAACAGGCCCGGGGGCAGCGTCATCGTGGCGCATTATTAAAGATGCATAGCTTGAAATATTCAATCAAGTCGGCGGGACGGGGGATAGGATATATATAGTAAGCCACAAAATTGGCAGCGCCATCGTCGGTGTGTTGGTTTATGCAACATCGACGTTGACGCTGCAAAGTCACATTTGGCTGTTGGCCGAAAGCTGTTTGGGCCGGCCTCTAACTCCGGTCTGGTCTGGTCTGTTCGGTCTGCTCGGTCCGGTCCGGTCCGGTCTAGTCTGGGCCACATGAGCAAATATTTTGTGGCTATTACTCCTATATTGTGTACGGCGCACACACACAAATGTGTCCGTGTGTCCTGCGGGCATTCAATTATATGGCATGTACGGCCAGGAGTCCAAGGCGGATGGCAATTTCAAGTCGCACGCCACACAGAAGGACTGGACTCAAAGACTTCCCGAATGTCACTCATCGGTCAAGTGTGTTTGTGTGTGTGCGAGTTAATTTGTTATTCAAATTTGTGTGTTATATATTGTTATTACAATGAAAATTGTTGCAGCTCCTGTTGTCGTCCCGACTGGTCGGGAGCAGTTCACATATTCTGGCCGGCGGGCTAAGCAAAGGTTCGTGACGTGGCCAGGGTCAATAGTTTTGGCTGGCATTGAGGTGATTTCCATCCAGAGAACCTCTATTTGGTCATGCATTATCTTTTACTGAGAATTATTTAGTGGGGAAATGTCGATAACCTATGGAGTAGTTGAAATTGGAAATGTAAATTTAGTAATAAAATAAAGTTTAAGCACTGTTTCTCTTTTTATTTGGCTTAATGCAAACTATTAATTATAATGATTAATTTGAAACAGTTTGCTGATATCTTAACTTTTTTAAAATTATCGAATATTATTAATGTATAATTTGTAATCACAAAACTATTAATAAAAGTGGTTATCTCTTCTCACATAATTTAAATATTGTCTGTTGGTTTATCATCCTTTTGTGTAGTAGTTTTTGATCGCGGTTATCTGGCTGAGATTTATTTACCATAATTTGTCCGATGATTTGTTGTTCGCTCGCTTTTCCCCAGCACATTTTTTGAATAATCAGTAATTAATCCCTATCTCAACTCTTTTTTCTATGCTTTTAGCGAACAATTGAACCCATTAATTAGCTTTGCCAGCCAAGTGGAGTCCCAGCTCCCGGGCAGACCATTTATTCGCCTTGACACCTGAAGGAGGAATAGCCGAGTGGAAACCCTAGTAAGGTCTGAGGGGCAACAACTATTGGGGATTAGGGCTTAACCGTCTGGTCAAGCGTCTGGCGAGGTCTCGCCCCGTTCCCCAGACCTGATTCATAGGTCTTGGGCTTGGATCCAGGTCTGGTGGTTGTCTAGTCTGGCGAGCCCCACGGGGATATGCGAGGGCTAAGCGGATTAATTCACCGACGTGCTGCTCAAAGGCAAATTGAAAATAGAAATGCGGGGAAAATAGAGCGGGGAACGTGCAACGAAATCCAATCATAATTATAGAGACCAACGCCTCGAGTCGATGAAATTTACACAACAAAAGGTGGCCGCGACATTTCCAGCTGTCAGCATTAATTAAAATGTTTTCATACATCACCTCGGCGGAGTTCCAACACCTTTTCGGTGCCCCAAAACCGGCCCGAAGGCAGCCAGAGCGGAAATGTCTTTGGAGGACGGGAATCAAAACACGACCAGAAGTCGACATAACATAAAGATGTCAAGGCCCGGAAGGGTTGGGGGCCAAGAATTATCATCCAGATCGCATGTTTTGGGAAATATTTAAGTTTATTTTTGGTCGTCTGGCTTTTGTCATGCCGATAATTGGCGTCCATTAGTTTTCCTAATTAAATATACATTTTTTGCCAAGTATTTTAACAAATTAAACTACAAAATTATAATTAAATTGTTTTTTATAAATTTTATGTAAAAACTATGGAAGTACAAAAAAATAAAAGCATTTAATACCAACAGAGCAAAAGTGTGAACCCGATACTCTTCGCCTGAAGCGGAGGTCATGTCAAGTGTTGGACAGTTTAAGCGACGGATCGAGTCTGCTGTCAATAAGTAATTGAAAATCAGAGCCGCCAGCAGAATGGTTTACCGTAGTTTTTTTGTCAGTGTCGCTTTTCGGGGTAATTAAAAAAGTTTTTTACTGTGAAAAATAGAAAGAAATTGCCAATTGTCAGCAGAGTTTTTTTGTAGACCGGCTAATTGTCATGCAGAGAAGTGGCAGGGAGGACATTTTCCTGGCCTGACGTAATTAAAAAGCCGTCAAGCGGAGTTGGCGCAGTTAGCGCTAAATGTCCAATTGATGCACAGACTCTGGCCGTTAAATACCGCTCTTTAAGCGCTCCGTCTGCAGCTCTCTAATTAAATAAGCCAGCGTCACATTTGTCTTGAGTGTCCGACAATTTGGTGACTTATGACGACTGCAGAGCGGACCAAAGCACTGGCCAAGTTGGGGAGCAAGATTTATGAGGTAAAAGCAATTAGAAAGTGGTATTAACAAGCGAATGCGAGGAGCGTAGAACAATTTATAATAGCTGCAAGCTGTAGACATTGAAAAACACAGGGCCAAGTGAGGGGGTGCATCCCAAAGGAGCACCATTACAACAAGGGAGTAAATAACCACTTCTTAAAACGACAGAAAGACCAGTATATTTTCGACTTTATGATAATGTTTTAAAGAAAGATATTTGATTAAATTGATATTTTAATATTTTTCTTCGATCTATAAACTACTTTGAATTTATTCGATCTACTAACACATATCCTGTGAGGCCTCATTCTGTTTACCCTTCCCATCCATCGATTGGATCTGCTCCAAGACTCCGAATAGTATATCCACTTCGTTCTTAATAATATCCAATTTTCCTTCCACACATCCGCGGCCCCATCCAGGAACATCTAGTATCGTTAAAGTCAATGATAATCCTTGAAAATACGGCATCATTTTATGGACTCACCTCTTCGGCGGCAGAGAATCCTGTACAAGTGATTTATGCCATCCAGGGTTCGGTCCTTGTCCATTGCACCGTTGGTAATGGCGTCCTTGCTGTTGGCCAGGATCTTCTCCCATTTGAGGCACTGCACACGGGACTCGTTGTACGATCGCTCGAGCTTGGCCAGATCGTTTTTGAGTCCCAGGACTGTCAGGGCGGCTTCATTCGTGATTTGCACCATGCGTTGTCGCATGTTCTCGATCTCATTCAGTTTCTGCTGCTCCAACTGACTGATTTCCACTTGGGCCAGCACTGCGAAAGAAAGGATCAGCTTACAAAGATCAGAGGCAATCTCATAGGCGATGGATGGCTTACTTAATGCGTCGCAGCGGTCCATGCAGTCCTTTGGCGAGACGAATATGTCAGAGACCTTTACCACCTCATCGAGAACCTTCTCGTACGGCTGGAACTCATGGACGGTGGCCTTAAGAGCCTCTCGAAAGGCTTTAAGCTCGCTGATCGAGTCCTTGAAGCTCTCAATGCCCTCGCCCAGTTCCTTGTGGTAGAGCGTCTCGCCCTGGGCTGTCTTCTCGGCGGCTCGCTTCTTGTCCGCGCAGTCCTTGATGAAGCTGTTCACCTCGATGAAGCGCCGCCGCAACCGCTCCTGGATCTTGTACATGTTCCGCACCCTGCTATGGTTAACCTTGGACTGCCTCTTGGCGCTGGCCAGCATCTCGTCCTGCAACTTGAGCATTGCTTCGTTCTCGCGCAGATTGTTGACGAAAATGAGCTCGATGGAATCTCCCGCGGAATCAGAGTTGGGAGGAATTCTGCAAGGGCAAGGATTAGTTTGTTATATTTTGGTTACACTTAAGTGACTTGTATTTGCTTACACAAAGAACTTGTCCTGCTGCTTCGAGCAGAGATAGTCCCCCACCGCCTCCTCTGGCCGCAGGTCCAGATTTCCCAGGACATCGAGCTTTTTGGTGGGTTTTACACGCGGCATCTTGGACCCCTTCGTCGGCAGCAGTAACTTCTAGTATAAGGATTAGTATGTGTAGTTTTTTTTCTTTTTTACCGCGGGGTGTTGTGTCTCGTGTAGCTGGGTGTGTTTTGTGTTAACGTTTGGGAATGTGTTACGGTTTTGTAATAAAATTAACCAAGACCTACTTGAAACATGATTTTTATTTGGGTGACATAAAAGAAAACAATGGTTGCCAAGACCACGGTTAATTTCCTTGGTGAAGGTTGCTAAGCGAGGAAAAGCAGCGACAGGGGGAGTTTCCTTGTACTATTATTATATATATTACCTGCATTATGTTTTGGATGTATGTGTATTTTTTAAACAATTCCAATTGCATTAAAAAAATATTCATAATTACTTTTAATATTTACATTGGCACTACTATATATTCTTTATTTAATTTGCTAATATATATTTACCATATTATCCTAGGCTGATTTAAACACCAGTCCTGCAAGACTTCATAAAAAAAAGTATTCAAAAATACAAAATTATAGCAAACACAGCACTTGCTGTCTAAAGAATCTACCTGTATACTTTCAGTATAACCCTGAGCCTCGCTAACACAACATTTGCTACGAAATATATATTCCCAAAAATATATACCTATATATTTATTTCTACAAGTAACTTTTTTCTTTGAGCCAAGATGCCGCGTCATAGGCCAACCTTTAAGACCGATGTGATCGGGGACCTTGATCTTAGCCCTGAGGGGGCCATCGATGACTATCGTGTCTCGCGGCAGCAAGATCAGTTTTTCGTGTACGTTTAGAGAACACACAGCTTCCTCTATCCCTAATCCAACCTCGTGTGCTGCCTCTAGGAAACCGCCCAACTGGGACTCTGCCGGCGAGTCCATTGAAATGCTTTACATTGCCAATTTGCGGGAATACGAAGCGATGAAGCAGCTGCAGGGCCAGCTGCTGAAGGACGCCAAGCGGCAGACGGCGATGAATGTGCACCGCATCCGCAAGATGAACAAGATCCAGGAACGACTGCGCAAACGTTTCGTCGAGGTCAACGGATTCATCAAGGATTGCGCGGACAAGAAGCGCAGTGCCGATAAGTGCATTCGCGAGGAGACCGTTCATCATGAGGAGCTCAGCTCCTCGATCGATGACTTCAAGACCTCCATCGGCGAGCTGAGCACCTTTCGGAATGCCCTTAAGGCGACGGTGGCCGAGTTCCAGCCATACGAGCAGGTCCTAGATGAAGTGGTTAAGGTTTCGGACATATTCGTTTCGCCGAAGGACTGCATAGATCGTTGCGACGCCCTGAGTAAGTTGGCTAAAGCATTAAGGAACTAATCTACATATACATTCCCTTTATTAAGTGCTCGCTCAGGTAGAGATTCATGAACTGAAGAGCCAGAAGCTCAATGAAATCGAAAAAATGCGGCAGCGCATGGTCCAAATAACTAGCGAGGCGGCTCTGACCGTCCTGGGCTTAAAAAACGATCTGGCCCGGCTGGAGCGCTCATATGTCCAATCGCGTGCCACGTGCCTCAAGTGGGAGAAGGCCCTCACCGCCTGCAAGGACGCCCCCTCGAACTACACCCTGGACAAGGATCGAATGTTTGACGCCATCCTGGTCTTGTACCGCATTCTCTGCAAGCGTCGAGGTGAGTTCCGCAATTAGGTAACAATATTTAGAACTAAATTGATAATATTTCGGCTTAGATGTGTCTCCCAGCCTCCACAGCTACGAGATCGACCGCATCATGAGCTTTATAATGCGCGAAATCGATCTGCTCTCTTCAGTCCTCCGGGAGGTCGAGTCCGGCAAGAGCGATAAACTTGACTCGGGACAGATTTGCTAGTCACAGCAAATATAGTTTCAATATACATACATACTTTTACACTTGTTATTAAAGCATGAGTAAAATGCTAGAGATGCTCTAAGCTAAGAACTTGTGTTTGCCTTTGGGATATATAAGGTTTACACTTCTAAGGACACTTCTGCTTATGGTGCAGAAACTATTTAAGGAACTAAATCTTGTTTCTTCAATTTAATGCCTCTTAAAAAACATCCCGATGAGAGGAATGTGACTTCGATCAAATATATCTCCTGATTTATGGGCTAGTCTGTGTATGGGCTTTATCGGGCTGCAAGAGCAGTCCCATCGAAGCTAAGTAGCTTCGTAGCTCCACCCCGCAACAACTTTAATGGGCTTCGGCCCCACCTTCTGCCTTATGGCCGCCATAACAGTTGTCTAACCCTAAAACCTTGAGAGCCCCCCAAAAAAAACGACCAACATATGTGAGCGTGTGTGGCTTTGTTGGTGCCTAAGCCCTAAAGAAAATCAAATGAAATTCGATAAAAAGTAAATGCATGGGGCAGGGAGACCGAGATACACTGGGGCTGGAAAACTTTTTAAGTGGCACTCGAACTTCAAATCAACGAAGGGACAAAGGGAAGGGGAGCAAGCGATGGGCAGGAAAATAAAGTTGGCAAATCGAATCTGCGACATCTTTCCATTCAATTGCCAATTGGATGCTATGGCCCAGGGATAATCTAACTTAAGCACAGATAATTCTTTTATGCGAACATTTTGATTTCTGTCCTCGCATTTACAACAACGCTGGCCGAAAGGAACTAGCAACTAATTTTGTACTGTGCAACCGTAGGGCCACGCCCACGCCCAGTCGAGGACGCCCACTTAACGCCCAATCGCCGGAAGAGGCGTGGCCCTTGTCTCTTATTCAATTTGCTTTATTTGATTTGCGATTTTTGCTGATATCAGCTGGAAGAGGAACTCCCAGGGCTCCCGGCAGGACACTCGATGCTACAGATAGACCTAGGCTAAAAATCAAATCAAATGGAAAGCAAAATAAAATGCAAGGACATTTATTTTCAAGGAAATAAAAAAGAGAGACGGCGGAGCCAAAGAAATCGAACTATGTAGTTCGGGGCAAAGTCAACATTTGGTTTATTTAAATGGACCGTGAGGACATCCCACAAGTTGTCCGGGCCCCGGAGGGTTTTTTTGTACTTCGGCCATCGGTTTTGTGGTCCTCCAGCCTCATCAATGGGCCCGGCAATCACATTAAGTTGCTCATCGGAGCTGCTGCCTCTCGTGCAAATCGTGTAAACACTTAAGATTTGTAGCCTGTCATTTAAATAATTGAAAAATGCATTCTATCTCTTCTTCCGTGGTCTGAGTTATTTCGGGCCAAAGAGCTTTTGAGATGAAAGAAATCATTGGGAGAAAGCAGCTGGAGATGCCATTACTCGGAATTTATTCAGCTGAGTACCCAGTCTATGGCGTCATATCCATGGTTACAATAAAGCCTAATGGCATTCTCGGCTAATCCCTTAATTGCATTACAATTAACTGTCTGCGAATTAAATAATATGGCCAGCAATGCCAACTAGGTAATAGCAGGACACGAACGAATTGTTTCGAATTTTAGTTGCAGATAATTAACTTAATTTATTTTTACAAAATATAAACCATTTTATATTTAAATGGAATAAATATTTAAATAAGAAAACTATTTACTATGGATATATAAATATTTCTCTGTCTTGAGGAAGGACATTGGAGGCTCCATCCTGCCGAACCGAACTCTGAATTACCTTTCCGCCGCTCCAATTATCCCTTTCGAAAGTTGTGCAGTTTCTTGGCGCTTTTGTTGCCATTTGCTTTTTTCCTGCTTACTAGACGAAACACTTAATTTAACTTTACAAGTTCTTAATGTGACGGCCAGACAGAAAAGTTGTGTGTTGGGTAGACGGCGCAGTTGGGAAGGCCGGGTCTTGGCCACTTGTATGGGACACTGGCGACAAATGGCAATTAGAGAAACAATGCCTGGCAAAACGGTTGCAAAGCTGGAAGAGCCGGCAGACAAAATAAAATAGGCGCAATTAAAACACACTCACCTTCTCGGCAAGTTGAAGGCGCTTTAAAGTCTAAGAACTGCAATAAATGTCAAGCGATTACCGCAACAACAAAGGGCGGCTCTGGCAGTCGGAAGAGCAACCAGAAGCCAGCTCCTTGATTAATACTATAACACATGATTTATTATGCCTGTCAATCGGCGGAGGGGAAGCCCATTATGAAAGCTTGCTTCAGAGATTGAAATCGGAATCGCTGGCATTGGAGTTGGAGTCGGAGCTGGAGCTGGAGCTGGATTTACTGGCGAAGTCGTCGAGCGACATGGCCTGTGATAAGATGGCAAATCGGCTTATGCCCTGGGACAACAACAATCGGCATCATCAATTCACTTGGCGACATTAATATCCTCCCGGCAAGGGATGGACCCCAAAGCTGTCGTCTGACATTTGTGACACCTGCATTGATTTGTCTTCCTTTTTTATACCCCGTTGCCATAGAGTTCAGGGCTATGATGACTCCCGGAGCTTAAGCAGTCAAGCTAAAGGATATGTACGCTAGGGAGAAGGCTTCGAAAAATACAAGAATATGGAAAGTAAGTATATTTCTTATATTTAAGATAAACATAAAGAAAAATAATATCTTCTGCGTATATATTATTTCTTTTTTACAGGGTATTCTTGATTTGCATCAGCCCGTCTTTTACTTTTATTTTTGTGTCACCGGACTTGGTGGGAAGGAAAAAGGAAGCCACCTGCTGCCCTCAGCTCCCTTGACTGAGTACCTTTCATGTCTTACAAATGCCTTTTTTATGCGCTAATGTCGCTGCGGCTTCTTCCAACTTTAACGTGCCAGCCTACCGCCCTGGGCCACCCACCCAGCACCACCACCCCCTCAATGAGAGCCATTAGTGCCGGGTTCTAATGGCCCGACGACAAGGAGCTGCAATTAGAGCACACTCACACTGGGAAGTCAACTACCCGAAAGAGCGGAGGCCGAAGGACTTTTCTTACCTCGCATAGTTGATAATTTATTCATTTGCCGGCTGGAACGACAACATTTATGGACCTCTGTGTTTGCCAAAAGTTAACCACACATGCCAAGATGGAGGACCCGGGCACTAGCAACCCTTAATGACTTCATTAGAGATCCGAGTGTCTGGTCTAAGAGGGGGCACTGAAAACTACCCCGGAATCCGGCGAAGATTACGCTTCCAATTGAATTGAAAATTTATTAATTTCGTTTGATTGGGCGTCGAAATCAACAGCTTAAATAGTTGAGCAAAATACGTGTTAAACATCTGCGGCATTGTTCCCTGGGTCCCGACAGATCCATTGTTGTTGCCAGGCCCCCGGTTAAGCCTTCAAAATTTTCCAACCCATTGTTCGCTTTAAAGACTCTCGGCACAACTGTTGGGAAATTGAAAACGGATGCGGAATTGGAATTGTAAATTTTACACTTACCCAAGCGGCATTTGTTCGCTTTTTATTGAGCCGAATTGAGCTCGGCATATGTCCATGTGTGATGCTGATTGTGTGCCCTCTGCTCCTTGATTACAATTTGCATAAAAATATCGTTCGGATTGAGGGCCCCGAGAATTATGTTGCACATTTATGGTCTCGAGTCGAGCCTTTAAGGAGCGAACTCTTGTCTTTTATCGTTTTCCTTTGTTATCCGGTCTCAAGGAGTGGGGGCATCGGGGTAGTCTCACGGAAAGGGTTTAAGATGGATGACAGCAGAAATTTATTACGCCTAATGATTGTCAGATGTGGGTTAGGCAGTTCCAACCACCAGTTGGGTCCCCTTTTTTTTACAGGGAATATTTCTTAGAAGGCATAAAAACTGAACCGGAATTATGTGGGGACCATTTTAATTTATCTATTCAATGTTTCCAATATTTCAATCAATAAAGGAAACGAGTATTTATAGGTACTAAAAAAAAGCTACTATTTTACGAGAGAATCTTTGAACGCTTTTCTTACATTTTACCAGAAGACCAACTCTTAAATTCTACACATAAAATACTTTAAAATAAACCCTTAAACTCACTCAAAAGTCACCTGTCTTCGCCTTAAGATTTTGTCCTGGTCCTGACAGAGCTTCAGTCTTCCTAGATACAAAGATACATAGATATATAATAGATACATAGATCCACCACCAAGTGCCACTCCGGAGCACAGGGCGCCAAGTCACCCCGGCCCCTGGCCCATCCTGCCACCATTCGTGGCGTGTAAATATTTATAAATATTGACGGCTTAAAGTGAAGTTTATAAGTGACACGAGTCAGACGCCGGCACCCCTCCGCCCGGCAGGAAAAAGGAAGCTTTTTAGGTAACATCAACAACAACACTTGTGGTCAAACTTGAAAGCCTCTTTGATGGTTTTGCTCCTCCGATTCCAGGGTCTGGGTTTGGGTAATGAAGTCCGCCACTTGAGGCTGTCAGAAGAGCGTGCGATAGGGATGGTTCGCCCCATAGATGGATGGAATGGGGGTCGGGTCGGTGACTTGGTGAAAATATTGACAAAGCAATTTGCCTGTCAGACAATTAAGTGCTTAATTGTATAAATGTACGGCCCGTGGCGGGGCGATGGCGGATATGTAACCAGTGGGAGCGGGAGACCGGAAGTTGCTCAGGCTTAAATCTTCTCCTGGCCACACCCACCCGCACCCCTCCCGGATGATAAACCAATCCAAAGTGACGTGGGATTTATGAGACAGATTCTGTTCTATCTCCAGACAAGTGAAGCAATAATCACAAAGCCATAAATCCTGAGGGCCCTCAGTGGCACAACGAGTGCCAGCAGAGGCGGTAATTTTTAATATAATTCAGTCAGATATGGCCGGAATGTCGGGCGACCCTTCCTGACACTTTGTCACAAAACGAAACAGCGTCGAGTGGAATGCAAAAATACTCGTATATATCAAGTGTATTATGGCAGCAGCCGAGGCACTGCCAGTGGAGTGCCAAGGGAGGATCTGAGCTACTGGAAATGTCCAGGCTCAAGGACCGAGATTTGCATAGAGCCCCAAGAGCCCCAGCTGAGCTGGAAGGGTCAGAGGGGGACTTAAA